CTACTGGGCTCTTCTGTCCGCCGCCAATTGGAAATGTTACCAAACAAGAGGTCCAAGGGAGGGGCAATACAATATTTGGTCCACCTAGGGATGCCAAAAACTGCTATACACCAGGGGCCCCTCCCGAGGACAGTATACTAATATCTACTGGGCTCATCTGTCTGCCGCTAATTGGAAAGACATCTCTCAATGCCAGAGATTTGTGAAAAGGAAACGAAATGTTTATTTAATGCTATTCAGGTCTAATGCCTCCACTAAAATATCAAAGTCCTTTAGGGTATACACCTATACCCACACAGCGCTCCCGTCTCCCACTGTCCCAACTCTGGGTACCATAAATCAGGAAAAGAGCACACGTCTGTGTTGCAGGCCGCTGGCACCAACAGCTGTGTCACCATGCAGGCAGGATCTCTCTCTAGTTAATCCGAAGTACTGTGGTACCCTCTCATGGTCCACTGGCAAGAGTTTTTTGTACCCAGTTCCAATCAAAGTCTCTCTTGCTTTCCAGGCCACGCGGCCAAAGGGGCACCCCAAAGCCACGTGGGCCTCTTCTACCAAAGCTGCAGGGGCTCGCACTCCACCAAAAGCATGTGGCTTTCTTCTTCACCTGGCTGCAGGGATCTCCATTCTGCCCTAAACAGCGTGGCCCTCTCCTCACCTGGGCAGTTATCCCCTCATGTCCCGGAGCCAGTCTTTTCCAAGCTCTCACACAGGCCTTCCCACTCAGGGGCGCAGCTCCTTGTTCCATCCTGGGTCCCCGCTACTCCCTTCTCCCTGGCTCAAAATTTGGCCACCGCTATTTAAAGTATCTATGAAACCAGTTAAGGGTTATAGATATGTTAAATAATCATTCCAGAGGTTAGCTGCAAAACTGTTGCTATGCAAAACAGCTCTCAATGGCCCTGCTCCATTCGTCCCTTCCCCCTGGGGTGGGGGGAGTGAGGACATCTTATATGTCTCTCAATATTCCTATACACTTTGAATTCTGGACACCATTCCAAATCTTTTGTTTTGGGCCCCCCCCCCAGGGCTGCACCCTGTATCAGAAAGACATCTCTCAATGCCAGAGATTTGTGAAAAGGAAACAAAATGTTTATTTAGTGCTATTTAGGCTTAATGCCTCCACTAAAATATCAAAGTTCTTTAGGGTATACATCTACACCCACACAGCTCCCTTTTCCCATTGTCCTAACTCCAGGTACCGTAAATCAGGAAAAGAGCACACGTCTGTGTTGCAGGCCGCTGTCACCATCAGCTGTGTCACTGTGCAGGCAGGGTCTCTCTCTAGTTAATCCGAAGTACTGTGGTACCCTCTCATGGTCCACTGGCAAGAGTCCTTTGTACCCAGTTCCAGTCAAAGTCTCTCCGGCTTTTCCAGGCCACGCGGCCAAAGGGGGCACCCCAAAGCTGCGTGGGCCTCTTCTACCAAAGCTGCAGGGGTTCGCACTCCACCAAAAGCATGTGGCTTTCTTCTTCACCTGGCTGCAGGGATCTCCATTCTGCCCTAAACGGTGTGGCCCTCTCCTCACCTGGGCAGTTATCTCCTCATGTCCTGGAGCCCATCTTTTCCAAGCTCTCACACAGGCCTTCTCACTTAGGAGCACAGCCCCTAGTTCCATCTTGAGTCTCAGCTACTCCCTTCTCCCTGGCTCAAAACTTGGCCACAGCTATTTAACATATCTATGAAACCAGTTAAAGGTTATAGATATATTAAATAATCATTCCAGAGGTTAGCTGCAAAACTATTGCTATACAAAACAGCTCTCAGTGGCCCTGGTCCATTCATCCCTTCCCCTTGGAGGGGTGAGGATATCTTATATGTCTCTCCAATATTTCTATACACTTTGAATTCTGGACACCATTCCAAATTTTTTTTGCGCCCCCCCCCGGCTGCACCCTGTATCACTCTCACAACTGTTCTAAGAGTGCTCTGGTGGAGACCATCAACAACCTCCTTATTGCTGGATTCAGAGGTCTCTTCACAGATATTGTATTTACTTGGCACACCTTTGACTCACTTGTCTACTTTCTTTTTCTTTTTTTTTTAATTTTATTTATTTATCTTTAGAGGGGAAGGGAAGGAGAGAGCCAGAGAAACATCAATATATGGTTGCCTTTCATGCGTCCCCTGCTGGGAATTGGCCTGCAGGGAACTGGCCTGCAACCCAGGAATGTGCCCTGACTGGGAATCGAACCACGATTGTCTGGTTTGCAGGCCCGCGCTCAATCCACTGAGCTACACCAGCCAGGACTCTTTTTCATGAAATTTTATACTCTCTTAACTTTTCCGACTTACCTTTAATGGATGCTTCACCTGCTGCCTCTTTTTTAAAAAAATTTTTACTCCGTATCAATTTTTTAAAAAGATTTTATTCATTTGTCTTTAGAGGGGAAGGGAAAGAGAGAGGGAGAGAAATATCAATGTATGGTTGCCTCTCATGTGTCGCCCACTGGGAACTGGCCTGCAACCCAGGCATGGGCCCTGACTGGGGATCGAACCTTGATCTTCTGTTTCACAGGCCCGCACTCAATCCACTGAGCTACACCAGCCAGGGCACACCTACTGCCTCTTTGATCATTCTTTCTCACTCCCTTCTGTAGGCTTCTTTTACCCATACACTTGAAAGGTTGTTGTGCTTAAACATTTTACTCATTGGCCCTCTTATCTCAGTTTACACAGGTATCTGGGATAATCCCAAATACTACCAATACTTCATTTACAGCAGTGATTAAAATGAAGGCATTAAAACCAGATTGGCCTGAGCTTAAATCCTGGCTCTGCCATTTACTAGCTGTGTGAGTTACTTAACGTATTCTAAGTCTTGGTTTCCTCATCAATAAAAAGGGGACTAATATGCTTTCTAAATTATAAGATCTTAGTGAAGATTAAATGTGATAATGCTTGCTAAGCACTCGGCATATAATAAGTACTTGATAAATGTTAAAAATAATCATTCCAAATTCACAGCCTGGGATTTTCTCCTGACTTTAGTCCCATATAACTAATTGCCTACTGGACATATCCCTCAGGAACTAAAACTTGCTGTGTCCAAAACTGCCTTATAACTGTTTCCTCCAATTTTTTTCTGCATCATGTGTCCTTGGTATAAATAAATGACACAATCAGTTACCCAGGCCACACTATAACACCTGCACCTGCATAATCTTAGATTCTTCCTTTTCGCTTACTCTCCATATGACCAACTGATGACTAAGCCCTACTTATTCTGTCTTGTTAATATTTGTCCTGACTTGTCTTCTCATCCCCATCTGACTTGCTGTTGCCTATATATGCTACATATTCTTCTAATTGGTTCTTATTTTGTCTGCATGGTCTTTTCATTAGTCTCCCTGCCCCCTTGTGATGTTTTAGTTTATTCTCTAAGGTGCTGCTAGAATGTTCGTATACTGGCTCCCTTATGCTTATAGGATAAAGTACAAATTATTTAACATGGCATATAAGTTTCTCTGTGATTTTACACTTACATGTCAAACAACTTATACTGCTTTATGTCCTGAAAATGCTTCCTTGCCTCATGCTTCTAAACAGCATGTACTAAATAGCCAGGATTAAACTCCAGGGTCACCCTTTTCAGGGAGATTTCCATGACTTCTCTACCCCTTACCCCACTTAGAACTGACTACTCTTGTGTTCGTCCCCTCTACCTGTGAATATTCCCTTAAATGTTTAAATATTTTCTTAAATACTTTGTCTCACATATGAATATATATATTCCACCTTCACCTAGTGAGTTGTAACCTCCTTGAGGGCAGGAATTTTATTTTGACTTTTCTTTATTTTGAGTCTGCTTTAATTAGCTGCTTATTATAGCACCTGATACCACAGCATTGTTGGTTGAATGAATGAATGAATGAATAAATGAAAAACTCACGAGCTGCATTAATGAAAAATAAGCATCTTTAGAAAGACAGAAGATAATTTTTGTGATTTTATTACTTTATAAAAATCTTACCATATTCAGATAGTTATTGAAAGAAGAGCACCAGTTAAACAATCTTTCAGATCCCTCTACTTATAAGAGTTTGTGATTCTACCTTGTCTTTATAAGGGGAAATACCAAAATATGAGATATGATGTCCATTCTAGGGTGCTTATAATATATATGAGGATATGAGTCTAACATCTATGAAAAAGATGCATTACATTACAATACATTAGCAATACATTAGCATTACAATACATTACCTAAACATTACATTACCTAAACAATACATTAGCAGTGATAAGGCAATAGGGCTAGACATCAAATTAGTCATATAACAAAATAACAACTCAGAGGAGGCAATATTTGCAACTGACTGGAATGCAACCTTAAACAATGTTTCCTGGATGCAATGAAATTTAGTTGGACTTTAGCAGATGAGAAGGCATTAATAATGTATCAATAACAATAACAACAGAGAAGCAGTATAGAGAGTGGTTAGGAGCATTATCCTATAGTCCAACTTTCTGGCTTTAAAACCAGTACTTACTAGCCATATAATTTTTGACAAGTAATTTCACCTCTCTGAGCCTTGGCTACTTCTTTCATACATTTAAGATGATAATCTTGTTAGCCTTATTAGGTACTGTATATAAAGAGTTTAGCAGAGTGCCTAGTTTCTAGGAAGCACTTAATAAATCATGTAATAAACCTCCATCACTGTTGTTATTATACCTTATATATTATACTAAGGGCTCCCATTTTGAAGATTTTTTTCTCTTTTTTAAGATTTTATTTATTTATCTTTAGAGGAGAAGAGAAGGAGAGAGGGAGAGAAATATCAATGTGTGGTTGACTCTTGTGCGTCCCCTGCTGGGAAATGGCCTGCAACCCAGGCATGTGCCCTGACTAGGAATTGAACCATGATCATGTGGTTCACAGGCCCACACTCAATCCACTGAGCTACACTAGCCAGGGCCCATTTTGAAGTTTTTTTAAATCTATCTTCAGCAATACTATAAAAGCAGTGAAATTATTATTATTCTCATTTGACAGATGGTGAAACTGAGGCCCAGAAAAAGAATGACTTAATGAAGGTGAGGTAATGGAAGTGTCAAAGCATTTGAATTTTTGACAGGCAACATCCTTCTTGAGTCTTCCCTTTCTCCATGGTCCTGCATACTCAGTGACATCACAATTTCTGAACAGCTGTTTTATTCATGTTTGGGAAACAGAACAGGGTGGAGTAGAGCAAGTTGGGGGAATGTAAAGGAGGAAAAGTGTTGGGAAAAAGCTAAAAACATCTTTAGAGTTTGATGTTTTTAAGGACCGCTGAATTCAGTGGAGTAAGACCAGGCTCTGGTTTGTAGGACACAAAAGAAACACAACAAGCAACTCACCCCACTAGGATAAAAAACATTTGGTGGGCAGGGTATAAAAGTAGGCCAGGCCTCACCATTCTTATCAGTCATAAAGGCAAACAGAAATCACTGACAAGGCTGAGTCAATTTCTTGAGTAGGAAAAGAGAGCTTTTGTGCAATAATTAATAGCATCTGGCAAAACTGTTTCTGATTGGCAAGCCTGGGTTTCTACGGTAATTCTCCAGTATTCAGTATCATGCAGTTCATATCTGGTTCTCACAGTAAGATGAATCTAACAATAACCGTACTTTCCTTACTCAGATCATTCATCGGAAACTTCCACTCGGGGAAAAAAGGTCTTGGGTTAGCCTTTATTTTTGTAGGCTTCACTACAAAAGGATCCTCCCTTTCTGTTTCTAGGCAAGGTTAGGTCAAGGTCAGACCACAGGAAAACAGCTTCACTATTTCTGTTTCACCATCACCCATCTCAGCTCTCTCTCTCTCCCTGTCCCTCTCCTTTCCTCCCTTCCTCCCCTATCTATTACAAGCACACAGGCACACATACACACAGTGTCTCAGTGCTGCCTCTCCATGATAACCTGGTGGATTGATACTCTCTAACCATAGGTGTGCTGTGGTTTCCAGACATGCTCCATCCTCATCTGAGCTTTCAGTGCTACACAAGACAATAATGAATAGGAATAAAAATGAATGAGTAACTCTGATATACAGTACATTGAATTTATCTCACAGCTATAATATTGATTGAAATACACAAGACACAAAAGAGAAAATAGCATTATTTCATTCATATAAAATTTTAAAATAACAAACCTAAAATGTCATGTTTATGTAGAAAGAAAAGCAAAGAAACTATTATTTATTATAGTATATTCTTAGTTATATTCCCTCTCTCCCTGTTTTTTTTACCTTTTTTAATTGATTATGCCATTACATTTGTTCTATTCCCCCCTCCATTCCCCTCCACCCTGCATACCCCTCCCCCACCATTTCCCCCTTTAGTTCATGAACACCTGTCTCAAATTCTTTAGATTCTGTATTTCCCCTACTATTCTTACCCTCCCCCTATCTATTTTCTATCTACTGTCTATGCTACTTATTTTCTGTACCTTCTCCCCCCTTCTCCTCCTTCCACTCCCCTGTTGCTAACCCTCCATGTGATCTTCATTTCTATGGTTCTGCTCCTGATCTAGCTGTCCTTTTAGTTTGCTTTTGTTTTAGGTGTAGTTCTTAATAACTGTGAGTTTGCTGTCCTTTCACTGTTCATCTTTTTTATCTTCTTTTTCTTAGGTAAGTCCCTTTAACATTTCATATAATAAGGGCTTGGTGATGATGAACTCCTTGAATTTGATCTTATCTGAAAAGCACTTTATCTGCCCTTCCATTCTAAATGAAAGTTTTGCTGGATAGAGCAATCTTGGTTGTAGGTCTTTGGATTTCATGACTTGGAATACCTCTTTACAACCCCTTCTTGCCTGTAAGGTCTCTTTGGAGAAATCAGCTGACAGTCTGATGGGGACTCCTTTGTAGGTGACTGTCCCCTTAGCTCTTGCTGCTTCTAGGATTCTCTCCTTCATTTGAATCTTGGCTAATGTAATGATGATGTGTCTTGGTGTGTTCCTTCTTGGGTCCAACTTCTTTGGGACTCTCTGAGCTTCCTGGATTTCCTGGAAGTCTATTTCCTCTGCCAGAATGGGGAAGTTCTCTGTTATTATTTGTTCACATAAGGTTTCCACTCGTGACTCTTCCCCTTCTGGTACCCCTATAATTCGAATGTTGGAACATTTAAAGATGTCCTGGAGGTTCCTAAGCTTCTCCTCATTTTTCTGAATTCTTATTTCTTCATTCTTTTCTGTTTGATCATTTTTTTCTTCCTTCTGGTCCACTCCCTTGATTTGAGTCCCAATTTCCTTTCCATTACTATTGGTTTCCTTTGTATTACCATTCATTTCAATTAGTTTAGCTTCCATATGTTTCTCTAATTTGTGAATAAAATCATCTAGTTCTGTAAGGATCCTGATAACCAGTGTTTTGAACTGTGCATCTGAAAGACTGGCTATTTCTTCATCGCTCAGATCTATTGGTTCTGGGACTCTGAGTTGTCCTTGAGCCATTTTTGGTCTATTTGTGCCGTTAAGTAAGCGGAGCGAAGCCTTAGTTGTTTACCAGGACGGGGCAACCCAGGTCGCTGGTTTGTGACGCTGTGTGTGGGGGCATGGTCACAGAGGGAGCAATGGCGGTCCTCTCTGCTAGCCCAGTCCGTCCAGTCACACCACTGGACCCGGGCCTGTTTATCTGATCGGAATTGTGCGAGCCTGCTGCCCCGCCCAGGCTTCCCTTCTCACTGGTTTATCCGCACGCAGATGCCCCACCGACCGCAGACAGCCCGCCGTGCCTCTTCCCTGTGTGCTCCCGTAGCTAGCCCACGATCAGCGCCTTCGGCTGCTTGCGCACCGTGCACCACCCGTTCGGGGATTTTTTCTTGCCAACCTGCTCTGCTGCTGGCTTCGCTTCTCTTACCGGTTTAGCTGAGCATTTAGTTGTCTTTGGACTCCGTATTGTTGATTTTCTGTGTGGCTTGGTTGTGTTTATTGTTGTTAAAAATAGTTGTTCTTAGATTTGGTTGTGCACAGAGGCAAGGTGGTTCCACCTACGTCTCCATCTTGGCGGAAGTCCTCTCCCTGGTTTTTTCTTTATGTAATAATATGAAGTCTGTCCAGAAGGTATCCAGCCATGTGCTATGAAAAATAGAGATATTCATTGAAGAAGATACAAGAAACATTGTCCATAAGACAATGACGCCTCAGTCTGCCTCAAAGTAGGCAACTTGGGACTTCACACAGTTCTCCCAATTGCCATCAGCTGCCCTGTTGTATTTTTTTGAATCTCATAATGGTCTGAAATCTCTTCCCTTTGAAAGGTGATTTTAGTTTTGGGAAAATCCAGAAGTCTCAGGGCACCAAATCTGGGTTATAGGGGGCTGAGTCACCTGGGTGATTTGATGTTTCACAAAAAAAAAAACTCTGCACAAATTGTGATGCATGAGTAGGCATGCTGTCACAATGAAGCTGCCAATCACCACTTCCTCATAGCTGCAGCCTTCTGAAACATCTGAATGGCTTCCATGGAGGAATGTTCAAGCTTCATGCAAAATTGGATGCAGATTCATTGCTCTTTTCGCTCAGTCATATTGAATGCAAGGACCACACAGTACACATGTTCACTCAATAGCATCTAGCACCCCCACTGACTAGTACAGTGAAGTCATCATTGTTCACGCATATGCATCCAGTCCACTCTCCTTGAATGCCAGGTTATATAGATGTCGCACAAGTCATTCTCATTGTATTAACAATGGCTGGACTTTTTCTGGACAGACCTTGTATATATGAACATAAAACATTTACTGTTCCAGGACCTAGGAAAGGGCATAGGACCTTTTTGAGAGGAGTTTTACATGTTCTACCTTGGTATACACCACACCCTTGGTCTAGGCATGATGACTATAAGAGTACCAAGGTAGGGTACAGGGGTTGGCTGGGGACAGTTATCATGCATAGCTTTGTTGTGAGTAAAGCAGCAAGCTCACAGGGGGCAAGTGCGCTTTCAAGAAGTGTTTAGTGGCTCACTGTACTCCAAATCCCTAGAATGAAGAACTTCAGGAATTCTAAACAGGCTAAAATGTTAATGTTGGAACTTCATAAATATAAACCTCTATTTTTTACTCTATTCGAGGAGTTCTAGGGACCAAAGAATAATTACTAGTAACATGGCTTAGTGTAAAAAGGACAGATATTCTGTGTCTGACTGACTTGAGCTCATATCTTGGTTCTGACCAAGCTGTGTAACATTGAGCTCGTTGCTTCCTCTCTCTGAGTCTCAGCTTCCTCATAAATGGAGATAATGATGGGCTTAGCATATACATACAAATAAATACAATTAAAAGAATATAATAATTATATGTGGAATCTAAAGAGAGAAATAAACAAACAAAATAGAAACAGACTCATATATACACAGAACAGACTGATGATTGCCAGAGGCGAATAGAAGTGGGGGAAAAAAGTAAAAGAATTAAGAAGTACAAATTGGTGATCACAAAATAGTCATGAGGATATAAAGTACAGCATAGCGAATATAATCAGTAATATTGTAATAACTATTTATGGTGCCACATTTGTACTTGAAATATTGAGAGGACTATTTTGTGAAGTATGTGACCATTTAACCACTGTGATATATACCAAAACTAATACAAAATAATCTTGAATGTAAGTTGTAATTGAAAAAAAAATAATTCCCCTATTGTTAAAAATTAAGATTGTTTCTCTTTTTAATATAATTTTAAAAAGGATAACAGTGCTACCTAACATACAAAATTCTTTTAGGAAACCACCTAGCTCATACTACATACACAATAAATAAACTTTTACTTCATTTCTATATTTCATTTGTGTCCCCAGCCAGACTTCAAAAGGTAAAGCAGAAAACCCATTGTCAGTTGACTTAGGAGAATATATGCTAATTAATTTTTGAAAGGGTGTACTTCAAAACCTACAATTTTATCATTGGTAAAAGAAGAAGGCACTCTTGAAAACATAACATCAATCTGCTATCTGCCTTAAGCTCTGTTTTATGGTAACAGAGAAACAGAGGGGAGTTCTACTTAGCTATATAGCTTCATCAGAAAAAAATATTCTGTTGCTTTAAAATC